ATGACTGTGACTATCACACAGTTTAAGTAAGGATCCAGCTTCACTGAGGTTGAGGACATATGTTCATTACACATAAACAGAGCTAGTCTGCATTTTGAAAAAATATCAGATGAAGTCTAGAAGAGTTCAACAATGTGCTGAAGGCTGGGCTCATTCAGGATGCTCTTTCTAGTCATACATTCTTTACAGCACCTTTCACTCCTGAGAGGAGCTGCACTTCACACACTGGCCTGCCTTGCCTCAGGTGTCCTGTAGGTCAGGCTGCTCTAATCCATCCTAATGCTAACAATGTCCTTTCCTCACTCCCAGACAGAGTCTTCTCATGAAAGAAATTATGCCAGGTTCAGCACAGAGCTTTTGGTAAATAACTAAACAAAAAGCTGACAGTGGTTTCTGGGTTATATTTTCAGAAGGGTACATTTTGTTCTTGTTGGCATCAGTCCAAAACAACACCAGTCTCAAGTTTACAGGAATCTATGCTGGTTTACACCATCAGAAGTGAAAGTGAGCTAGTGTCAAGAGACAAGTCCTTTTTGTTGGTGAAGGGAATGAGATGTTTGCTTTGAACTACCCCCTGGTAAGAAGTAGCATCATCCATTTAAAAAAACATGACACTTGTGCCAGTAAGATCGGTTAATTCTATCCCATATTCTATTTCATCAGCACAACATAGCTGAAGTACTAATGTTGATATTAATCAGTTAGGAAAAGTTGTCTCAATTTAGAAACATTCAATAGAGATTTTATCAATATTTTTAGTTTTAATTAAAAAAAAGTTAATGTGGTGTTTAATTGATTTTTTTCTTATTCAAATGATAATCTTTAGTTTTTCATACTACAAAATCATACTGATAAAGGAAGATACATCATGTAAGTCCTACAAGTATTCACTTTTCTGTCACAGACATCTTTATGTTAAGCATACAGGTGTAAAAGGATAAAAATTTCCTAATGCTGGCTTGCATTCCCATCATGTGGAACACAACTTTTTATTTTATTTTATTTTATTATTTTTTTTCTCCCCAGGAGTAAGAAAAGAGAATGCAACAATAATTTCTCACTAGCAAGAACAGCTGAGATGTATTGAAGACCAGTCAGCCACAAAATAATTGCTTTAAACTTGCACCTATTTTTTTCTTTTTTTGGTGGACTTCTTAAATTTAAAGAGACAGATGCTAGGAGGTCAGGATAAGGTAAGGAATACTGAGGATAGAAAGATCCTAAATGCAGAGTGGGGCTATGCAACTGTTTCTTCGGGGACAGGTGAGTAAGATATAAAAGAATGTACACTTTTAAGAAGTAATTTTTTGCCCATCATTGCACAGTAACACTTTTTAAACTGATTACTACAGTATGTGAAGCTCTTTATCCTACTACTTAAATCTCTTCTGGTTTAAACAAATTGCCAATAGCTTATCATTAAGCTGGGGGCATAAACACCTTGTGAAGTCAGAAAGTCTAATCTTTCCACTGTTTGAGAGAAACATTAAAAAAAGTGATGACAGCTTTGAGTGAAAAAGTGGCATCTGTACTTGGTCAGCTGCTTACCAGAAGAGAAGCAAGACCTTTACAAGCATGCTTTTGATCAAATTTAAATGAAATAAGAGGTAGAGTGGCCACAGGCTGCTTTCATTATACCTAGCTTTGAAAACCTGATCTTCACTTTACCAAGGAACATTTGTTTGAAGATCCTGAAGCAGTAGTGTAAGCCAGAGCTGTCCCCAGTTCCTCAAGCATCCCAGTAGAAGTATGAAAGTCACCATTGTGAGATCTTCTCTGAGTCCCAGAAGGGAGACTGGGAGCGGTTGGACCTCTTCTGCCCAGCACTCAGGTGTCCACCACTGGGGTTCTGTGCCTGTGACAAGAATGGAGTAATTCCACTGGAGGGTAACTAAAATAGTTAGGGGGCTGGAGCACAAGACATCTTAAGAGAGACTAAACTGAAGATGGGTGTTTCAATTGGAGAAGAGGCAGCTAAAAGGAAATCGAGCAGCAATCTTCAGTGGCCTGATCAGGGCTTACAGAGAAGCCTGAGCTCAACTCTTCTCAGAAGTGCACAGCAAAAGGACAAGGGACAATGCACTCAAATAGCAACAACAACAAAAACGCCTCTGAAGATGGTCCAACATGGCAACACAGACTTGAGATGTGGTGAAATCCTGTGCCTCAGGTAGATTTGATACAAATTTGAGGTTGAGCCCTGTTTCAAGCAGAGATTGGGACTAGATGATCTCTCAAGGTCAAAGAATTGTAGAATCATAAATGTCTGAAGTTGGAAGGGACCCATAAGGTTCATTGAGTCTAACTCCCTTCTCCTTCCAACACTACCATATGACTAAAAGCACCATCTAGATACTCCTTGAACTCTGACAGGCTTGGTACCATGACCACTTCCCTGGAGAGCCTGTTCCAGTGACCCATCATCATTATAGCAATGAACTTTTTACTATTTTCCAAGGCATGGTCCTTCCTAATTCAGGAGAAATGTGATCCTACAAAAAGCCCAATGCTATGAATGCATGGATAGGATGACCATGTAAATGCAGGTTAAGAACAGATGTACAAACAGGACAAAGAAGAAACTACACATGAGGGGACTAGTTACTTAGGGATGAGTTTCTTTTATCTACACTCCGAAGGAAATGCTGCATATAAAGGTGGCTGGGACAAGAGAAACCCATTCATATCTAATATACAGTGCCTTTTCAAACACTGAATTGTTTTGTTTGGAAAAGATGTTTAAGATCATGAAGTCCTAGCACTGCCAACTCCACTACTAAATCATGTCCCTAAGCACCAAATCTACATGATTGTTGTGCACATGTGGTAGGTATCAATAAAATAGCTCTTTGGAAAACCCTCAACTTTTCCACTCCAGTGAAAGAAAATCTGCATCCACATACCTTCTCCATTTCTTCTTTGTGTATGCTTTTCCAAAGAAATACACTCTTAGAATGAAAAAGGACCAAAAATATTTTACTTTAAAGCTTGTGACATAATTTTATTGTATTTTGTAGCATTCTTTCCATGACATGCCTAATACAGTATTTGTAACCACTACTAAAATGATTGTATGAGGGCATTCACTGCACTTACAGCCAAATTTGATAACCAATAAGCAAACAGGCAGCTACAGTTCTTACTGTCTTTTTTTTTTGTCTTTTTTTTTTTTTTTTTAAAGTGAGCATTTAATGTCTAAAATAGCAGCCCAGGATCAGATCTTATTTTTCTTAAGTTTATTACATTCTAGTTAAGTATGAACATATTCTAAATGAAAGATGGTTAAAACCTCATGCTTAAGTGGAAGTCCACAAGCAGTTTCATGGAACATTCACATGTGCCTAACTACTGCACATTTTTGTAGCAACACTTGTCCTACCTAAAAACAGATATATTTGTGCTTATAGATGCTTTATTTCCCTAGTTTATTTGTAAAGCATATAACCCATTAAACTAAAACTGAGATTTGTGGGATTTTTCTAGAGTATATTTTGATAAGAATTTTGTCTTTTTGAAGTCTGGTTCTGGGGTCTGTTTTACCTTTCCTTGCTTTGTGTCAGTCATATGCAAATTTAAGTCCCAGAACTGGAATAACTTCTCTAAGTTAAAATTAATTGTAGCTGTTTTAGCATGGTCTTTTCTCAGCAGGTATTAAAAAAAATCTCGTTGAATGCAAACCCAGTAATGCTAGGTTACCTAATTACACATCCTGAGCTGTTTTAACTTCCTACAAAGAAAATTCTCTCTACCTCTCCCAAAGAATTCCTCAAAACAAACATCAGATGCAGATTAAATTTGCTAAACTTCTACAAATAACTTACAGTACAGGAACACTGACTGCAGATTGCCATAGTTTTGACTGACTGCACTTACACAGCTTTTTCTTTTGTTTCTTCCCTATTCAAGTATTTGTTTTCTGTATCTGACTGGATCAGAAATCAAACACTGCGCATTCTATTAAAAAAAACCCTACACATACAATATTAGATATCAAGAATGTTCCATAAAATTTCTGTCCTGACACTAAAAACATCCATCATCATTATGCCTTGTATTAAAAAAAGGCACATTTCTTTTTCTGAGACAAAATACACGGGCTGAGATAGGAGTACAGAATAGCAGAAGAGACTTGTGGTTTACTAGTCTGGCAAGTGTGCTTCAGAGCTGACACTTGATTGTGAGGGTCAGTACAAGATAGTTTAGCCATTTGAATGTGCTTTACAAAGGAGAAAAATAGTTTGTAACTATTGAGAAATATGAGAAGATACTTAAAACACAGTAAAAGTAAACATTTACTGGATTATTTTAAAGTATATTATTAGAACCAACAGGACATAACTTTCAACATGTATAAAGTATTATACATAAAAATGCATAGATGTACAGTAAATATGTTCATTTATATGTAGACAGAGTAATATGTACACACAGGGTCTGTTGTGCTTCTGAACTCTAGGCAGTGGTTCCTGCAGTATATTGTCTTAAAGCAGTTTATTATACAACTGTTCCAACGTAGCAGGTGCTGAGAACAACGTACATTAAGTAAGTAACTAATATCCATTTAGTCTTAAAATGTACAAATATAGGAAACAAAGGCCATATATGCAATAGTACCTAAACCTCCAAGACTTCCTTTTATATTATTTAAATATGCACAAGTCCGCCTAATGGTGACAGAGGTTTCTTTCCTGCTTCCCTTCCGTGTCAGCATGTTGACCAAGCACTCAGGACAAAATCTGTCATGCACTTCAGAGCCATTTTCACTGATTCAACTCAGTGTGCTCCTGACCTTGAAGTCTTCAGGTCAAAATTGAGAGGCAAAAATAAAATAAAAACAATATAAATAAACCAAGCAAGTTTGTGGGCTTTTTGTTTTTTTTTTCACAAGGTATCTGCCACCAATACTGTCAAAGCAGCTGAATCATAGTGCATCCATGGGCAGGAGCATATAGCAGCTTTTGTGCACTTTGCAAAAAAATATATTAAAGAAAACCAAGTCTTTACTGGCTTGTTTTATCTGTTGCTAAAAAGATGCTGTGCTGCTTCTGAGCCCTTTCCATCAAATTCTTTTTCTTCTTTTTCTTGTCCTTTGTTTTTGTTGGCCTTCTTCCTAAAAAAAAAAAAAGGAAAAACAATATCAAATGGTCAATTATATGAAGAATAGAAAGGAGATACTAGACTTAAGTCAAAAAACTCTGTGGCACAGAAATTATCAATGGGGACCGCAAAGGTAATATGCTGGCTAATGAGCTTTGATCACCAGTGAAAACAATGTGGTACAAGAGGAGACAGGATCATTGACTGTCATCACTTGTCCAAAGGCACAATTTTGCTGTTGTAGATCCCAGTTTCAGCAGGGTAAGTCCAATACATCCATGCTTTCTATGAGAGATTAGGCATTACAACCCATGTATTTGACTGGATATTATCCTACATGGTTTGGCAGAAACAGTGCCACCTCTGCAAAGAACTGTTTTTGTTGTTTATTAGTGCCTAATTCTCAGAGCATATATTACTGTTCAGAAACAAAAATTTCATTACATGCTTCTTGCTATTGGAAGTTCACTGCAAAATAAACAAAATCAGGAAATCAGGATCGATGCAGGCAAAAAAAAATTCTCAGCCTCCAGGATGGGGAAGTTTTTCCCTGTTCAGTTCTAATAATAAATCAGTGCCCTTTATCTGAGCAAAGATATCATGGACTGAAAAAAAGCTAGCTACAAAGGCCCTCATTCAGCAATGAATATCTTTTAAGTATACGTTTCAATTGTATCAGCTCTACTAGGATTCAGGGAGATGACCAAATGCTGTTTGTAGTGAGAACAGTCTCTGTTTTCTTGGCAGTATCAGATACTGGAACATGTGATCAATGGTAAAAAAAAATAAGGTTATTAAACTCTAGAGATGCCAACTTTGTAAACTTTCAGGATGACTAACTTAAGAAGACAGTAGAAGGAAATTTAAGTAGCAGATGACACAAACGTGAAAATGCATTTTTCAACTACAATGTCAGTACATTATTAATTGTGAGAAATATTTGCCAGTCTGACTTGGTCTTACTACCATATCATTTTTCAACTAAAAAGCCTCAAACCAGTAAGAAACATTTTTCTCTATTTGATAATAACATTGAATAAATATGATTTAAAAATTAATAAAAAGTTATGATTCATTAAAAATGTAAGGCTTTATAACTGAAATTACATATTTCTAACATATCCAGGTTACTATTCTGTAGGAATTATCAGAGTATGTATAAATAAAATAGGGTAGGGCATTAAGGTAATGAGCACATGAGTTTTGTTCATATTAAAATCATAAGGGTCCTGGGAGTTTACTTCTGCTTCTTATTAAAGTCTGGCATTAATACTACTCTGGCATCTTGCCATTTTTAAATCCACTTAATCCTACACAGTTAAACCTCAGTCCAACCAATCATTAATCAAAGAGGCTTTTACATTAAAACTTTTTAGTAACACTGTACCAAATGACCAGGCACACCTAATGAGGTCAGAGGGAAGGAACACTTGACACAAAGTGGAATTGCAACAAGATGGCTTCAATTACAGAAATTTCCATATCAAAATTTTGTTATGGGATTCTACCAGCTGGTATATTGTCAGACATCAGAACTGGGATGAATGTATAGTCGACCACTGTCATCTATCTTGCACTTTAAGTATTCTGAATATTTTAACTCACAGCTTTGAAATACTTATTAAGGAAGGAGTAGATGTGGGAAAACAATCTGACATGAGATACAACACTGTTCATCAGAAGAACAGTAGAATCACTTTGAGCTTTATTGCAGTTTCGCTATCCTGTTTGCACAGTGATCTTACTTTTTTCACTGTATAGACCGATTAGTAAAACAAATATAAACTCCAGTCAGAGTCACGTCTAGTTTTCTCTACAGTCTCCTCCAGACAACTAGAGTAAATGCTTGCTGTACATTTAAGGTAGTGAAAGATTCTATTATTTTTCCTCTGAAAATTCTGACATGCACAGATAAAACTACTGAAGATTCACTTGGTATCTCTTTCAGTCTTACAAAGTAGCTACTGTAAAACAAGCATCAAGTCAAATTCCCAGCATGCTCTCCATGCAATATTCTTAAACCAGAAATTATCTGGACCAGATTTCAGTGTTTTGACATGTCACTATGCAACAAACACATTAAAGTGCTTCTGCTGCTCTGCATGATCCATCTCTGTACCTGCTTTTGCCCCATGGCACAATGAAGCCAAATAACTTTCTTTTACATGTGCCACGGAGTAGCAACCTGTGTGAGGGTATCAATAGGTATCAACCATTGATACCTGGTAGCTTGTTAACCTCTTAGTAAGCTCTTTGGCTGCTCACCATATTTCCAAGTGTCCAGTTGTACAGAGTAAGTTTCACTAAACCACACAGAGAAAATCCAAATGAATTCCAAACGAATGAAACCTGAATTCCAACTGTCATTTTAACCAGAATGCTGAATATAAAAGGTATTTCTTGGCTAAACATCAGTTCCCATATTGCTACTAGAACACAACAGAGATTAGAGATTATCAAGAAAGAAGTAACTGTAAAGACTAAAGAGTTCAAAGGAATCAGAACTTTTATTAAATTCAGATTTCAACTGCAGTGCTTGTTTTGCCAGCAGAAGCACAGTGAACAGAAGCAACTTCTGAATATCTTGCTATAGATGTATTTTGAAGAACTTGATGTTTATGATACAGAAAGTAGATCCTCAAAGAGAATCCAGCAGCCAGACTCTCCCAGCTCCTCAGCTGGAAGGCAGTGGGGTGAGGATGGCTGGTGGAGGAGGTGCTTCCCTGAGGATGGGATGGCAGTGGCTCCCCCAGCTTCATGTGGAGAACCTCATCCACAGGGGGCCTTGCATGGCCTCCCTCACACCTTGCCATGCTCCGAAGCGCAGTAGCCCTGAACCCAAGCCCCTCTCCATGGGAAGCAGCAGGGCTTGGCTTTGCCGGTGCGGTTGAATAGTGGAATTAGTAGCAGTGTATTATAGTCCAGAACCTGCAGTTGCACTTAGAAGGAAATTCCTGGCTGAAGCCAACAAGGAGGAAAAGCAAAAGGAAGCTCTCTCTAGAGAGAGTTTTTACCACTATCAGTAACAGGTTATAATACAACTGCACATGAGAGAAAGTGACAATGTCTGAAATATTAAGCCTTATCCACCTAGTCTATAAACCCCTCCTGACTGGAAACAACACCCAAGTGAGCAAATTGTCCGGCTCACTCTTTAGGCAACATTACATCCTTCTGAGTGGTAACTCGCCTGCTTGTCACCTGGCAGACAGCCACACACCTGGCTTCTCCTTTCCAAGGTACAGTCCTCCACATCAGGTCTAATCGTCAATCTTTACTTTATGACTGCAGACAATCTATTTTTTAAAACCTTTAGTTTTAACAGCAATGAAAGAAAATACAAATAATTCATGCAAACAAAAGGATACCTGACCACTGTTCAGGCTACTGTGTTCTTATTTTAATTTTTATTACATTTTCCTTTGCATGCAAACTATCTAACTTTTCCTTGAAGAACATTTTTTATCTCTGACTGTCTAAAAAAGGGTTCCTCAGTTTTTATTATCATAATCAGCTCTGAACATAATTTACAAAACTTGTTTAATACTTTGTAAAGTCTTGTGCATACTGAAATGTATAGGGCCTAAGAAGGATCTGGCATTTAACTAGATTTGGTGTTCAATTATCTAGCAAATAAAAGCCCTCAAAGCTTATCTATCATTCTGTATCTCATATTTCCACACAGGTTATTTAACAGAAGCAAGATTGGCAAAGCCATTCATTCAAAACTTTTATTGTAAGGTTATAAAATTCAGTTCTGCTATTTGCTTTATAAATTATCAATGAATAAGCCCTCATTGTCTAAGCAACTTAGGTAGATGGGCAACTAACACGATATGCAACAAAACATTATCATTAGCTAACAATGTACCACAACTTCTGTGATTACATACAGGTATTGGTGCAATACCATGCAGTTAACAACGCAACTCCAACATTAATTCCTGAAAAAAAAATAATTTATGCTAATATACACAGCAATTGTCCGTACACCAGAGAGTAACAGCTACAAAAATAACTATTTAACTTGGCTTTTGCTGGATTGTTTTTCTTTCTTTTTTTGTTGTTTTTGTACCATTTTATCAGTATTGCTCCTACAGCTGCTGCATACTGGTGTATTAGAGACCTGTGCTCAGTTCTCTGGTTTGTCTCTTGTCCTGAGGTGAAAGGTGTTTGGAAATTCTGCATGTTCCTTCTGGATGGACCCACCTGGTCAACTAAGAATAGACATTATCTGGTTCAGAAAAAGCCTTCATCACCTTCTGTCAGCTGCAAAGGCACCTTTCTCCAGAAAGAGTTTGGGCAGCAGATTCCCACCACTCAGGACACTCTTGGTTCTCCAGAACTAAAATTCAGCAAATGTATCCACAGGGACTCCCAGCCACATTACTGGAGATGCTTGTCTCAGAAGGACAGCACCATTTCCATATCTGAATCAGCCTTCATCTGCTGTATAAATACTATTGTATGGACTGCTCTTCTAACAAAATATGTCCATTGCTAGTTTCAGTAGACAGAGCAAACACAATTTACACCCACATGAGGGCAGCAAGGATTTAAATTTAAAACATTTAATATAGGGGGGGGAGAAAGCAGCACCTATCTGTAGCTTTATTTCATTCCTCCCCAAAAATATTTTTCAGTGTTCTTGCATACAAATTATTATTTTAGAGATATCAGAATGTTTAATACTTCCTTCTTTATTTAAAATATTTTTATATCCTATTGATGATTACTGAATAATGGAATTTACAAGTGTCTGTCTGCTTGCCTTCCCTAGATTTTCACATGCAGAATTTCCACTGCTGGCAGCAAAGACACAATTGTGTCCTGGGATAACAACAGACCTTGCTAAATACTCCTTTTAATTATTTCCTCCCTTTCATTTGTCTTTTTAGGAGCTAAATGTTGCACATTTGTACATTATTCTACAGCTGCAGTTCTACCATGGACCCCGCATGTGGCAGCATCTCAACCGTGGGGGAAGCTAGAAAAGTCATGACACTCAAATCA